ATTCAATTGTCAAGCTAGCTAGAAATACAGATATATGCGTATGTATATGTATATGTATGTCTATGGAGATGGATGTTTGCCCAGGTCATCTGGCTGTCATCGAGACTAATTGAATTGTATGCAATCAATTGATGTAGCTCAATTGACATGAATTAGCATGCGCATGGAAACTTTTCAGCATAGTTAGTCATCCGTTTGAGCACCAGGTGCTAACCTGGCCCTCAGCCACCCTCAATTAGACTCTGTTTGAATTGGGTTTGGCTTTCATTTTGCACTCGTTCAATGAAATTCCGAGCGCTGGCAAACTGTCAAAGACGCGTTTCTATTTTTCCGCAATTGCGATTGCGATTGCAATTGTAAATGAATTTTCATTTTAATTGCAGTTCTCTCTCTCTCTCTCTCTCTCTCTCTTTATCTGTCTGTTCTCTGTTGTTGTTGTTGTTGGCGTCGTCGGCGGCGTCCTCTGTGGGACATAGTCAACAACAGCCATGGGCTGCTGCGTGGGCGTCACTGCTTGACAGCTCGGGCGGCACGTAGTTCATTTAAAATAGAACTTTTCATTTTCACAGCTCGTGCAGCCACTTGAATTTTCACATTCAGCCACAGCCACTCTCGAACTGGGCGGCATAGCACTTTTCCTCATTCAATTTGACAAGCTAAATTGGCGACAAAGACCAATATATAGTTATACAAGTCGATATATCACGTGGACAGCTACTATCGCGTGCAAAGCTCTTCTGGAATGCTTATCTGTCTTTATATATAAATATACCTTACTCAATTTGTTGCAATTGTTGCTAAAGAAATAAACAACTATAAACTGGCAAAGCTTGCAGTAAATACATATATTAAAGCTATTTAGGAATGAAAATTATCAATAGCTAAAACGAGTAGTATTGGTTCATTCCGATCATCTGACTTGATATTACGAAATATCTATGCTACATAGAAACTGTACATAATATATTCATATATAATATATTGTATTTTAATATTATATATTCTCAATTCCAATCAATTAAATCATATCTCAAATAACAAACATTCAAATTTATTATATCTATCACAAAGTATTCGTAGACTTCGTCAAAGAACTTTATCGTATCATAAACAAAAATAATTTCATATTTATGAGGACGATAACAAAAGATAAGCGATTAGTTAATTGATTGAGATAAGACCTAAATTTAAACAAAAGAAGAGACGTAATAAAAGAAAGTATTTGAGAGTAATTAAGATAAACGTATATATAAATTTAAATGGTATTGGAAAAGTATATTTATCTAAAATCAGTTGATATCAAAGAGCAAACTTTAATCGGCGAATATCAAATTATATTTATTTATAATAGTGTATCGCGGCATTCGTCTCACTAAATTCATTTGTCGGCGTATTGTTGTTTATTTATTCTCTTAAGATATACATATATTTTAATATGGTCTCAACTAACAATAAACAATGAAAGCCATTGGCCAAAGTGGCCAAAGACAAAGTGCCAAAAGCAAGCACAATAATTACTCGTGATCATTTGACTAAAGAGATTTAAAGGCTAGTTCCGTTCGCTGTGGTGCGGTGCGTATACTTAACGAGGCGAGCGTCTGCAGTGGCATTAAATGGATATGGATTGTAGAGCCTGTATGGTTAGTCATTCTGCTTCCATAATTAGATGCTTGGCTGCATTCTTATCTCGGAGCTAATTCGCAGAATGTGCAAATCTTATCATTGCGTATGCGCCGTGTGGACCCGCGTGGGGATGAGGCCACTGCGGCAGCCCGTGAAACTGATTTATCACTGTGACATCATGCAGCACGGCACCAACACAGTGATACAAAGAGGCGCCGGACCAGAGACAAAAGATCAAGCGGTACAGTAAAACAGCAGAGGAACAGCTTTTATTTGCATATTTATTTAATTCTATTTGCCCAGCAGAACACAAACAAAACAAGAAAGAAAGCTCTAGTCGAGACTGCTCGACTACGAGATCCCCTGAACCCTACAAGCAACTTATATTTCAATAATAATTAGCAAACACACACGCA